GCTAACCAGTATCTTCGCCCCTTCCCAAAATTACTTCAACGGAAGGTTTCCAGATGGATATGCAGAGCAAATCCATCTGGCGGAGTCAGGTTAAGAAATTGCACAGTGTAAGCCCGGCTTAAGACTGTTTGTAGAACCAGTAGAACCACAGTGGCCCTGAAAAATGGCTGCTCAGTCAGCTCCCAGACGTTTCCCTTTGGTAGGCCGGAGGAAGTGAGGCTTGGAATCGGATCACATGTCTGTTCTCAGATGGGAGATTTTAGATGTTCAGAAAACTCCGCCAGCTTCTATCATGTTTCTGCTTTGATCATCACCTCTCAGGAGTAAAATGTGGATTAGTCTGTTTCATCTTTCCTGTCACACTCCACTGGAGTGTGACAGGAATTTAATCGGCAGCGGATTAAAACTAATCTGGTTTTAAAATAAAGGTCTGCCGACTCCTACACCATGTTCAGCTCAGCAGAATGTTGGTTCTGTCTGTTCCTCCCTCATGCTTCTCTCAGCCTGCTCTGCTTTATCTCTTCCCTCCTTCTGTCCTCCAGACTAAACATCACGTCTTTTTTCAGACAGAGGAATTGTGTGTTTGTCTCTATCTGCATTCTTATCTCGCCCTGCTGCTACATGTCCAGGCAGTGAGAGCAGATTGAAAACGATGCCGTTTTACAAGAGGTGGAAACCTAGAAGGTTTGACGTGAGTCGGTTCGACATCTGGGATGAACATGAAACCCAATGTGTCCTTAAAAACAATTCAAATGACATCCAAATCTGAAAGCATGATCATCTACAGCTTAAAGCAGACACCTCCAGAGTTCAGGAATGAAAGCAGCAGCAGCGGAAGCAGCTCCTGCATCAACATCAATTCAATTCAGTTTATTTCTATAGCTCCAATTCACATCATGTCATCTCAACGAAGTCATTTAGAATGTTTTTAGAGCCTAAACAGTAGTGTATAGGATTTCCTAAAAGCGCGCACATGCGCGTTCACGACGCTACGGAAGCCGGCAGACCAAACCAGATGAAAGTGCGCATTCAGCGTCTGCTCTGCTGATAATGCAAGCGTAGAAGAAGAAATGTGCTGTTTACCTGTGCAAAGAAAGAAACAACGAAAGAAAAATGTCTGAGGACTTCAGTGTTGAGGAAGAGCATGAGTTCTTTGCTGAGCTGAATGCGCACTTTCATCTGGTTTGGTCTGCCGCGGTTTCCGTAGACTCGTGAACGCGCTTTTAGGAAATCCTATACACTACTGTTTAGGCTCTAAAAACATTCTAAATGACTTCGTTTCGAGTAAATTCTGGACGCTACCCACTCAGGACACTTGGAATACATTGGACGAGCAGTATGGAGGAATATTGACACGTTTCTTGTGGACTTTTATGGACCTTTCTGCCTCGGGCGCCATAGACCTCCATTATTTGAATGTCAGCAGAAAGCAAGAAGCGTCGCAGATCTCCAGATGCATTTGAGATATCAAAAAAGTACTCCAGAGTGTTGTTCAGCATGGGGGTGAGTAGAAAATGAAGGCTAATCATGTTTTGGGTGTACTATTCCTTTAAAGATAAGGAGCTGCTTGTTGAGCTGCACTCTCGTCTTGGTTAGCATTCGCAAACATCTACAGTAGAAGCCATTCAAAATGTCCACACTTTTCTTGATGTGTCCTTAGCTGGTGGCTCCAGTGGCTGGAAGTTGGCTGCCATTCGGCTGGCTTTTGACTGGGACGCTACGTTCACATAACCTGACAACAGCCAGATGCATGTCTCGCTCCGCCCAGCTCCACTCACATACATCTGGGAACCCGCTCATTGAAAGTGATTTCCCCAACCAACTTTATGGTCTGGCCAATCAGGACGCAGGGCGGGTGTGTCCTGGAGTGGAGAAGCGAGCGTGAGATTCCAACAACAATGGCGGCTCGCATCGAGGAAGCAAGCGTTAGCATTGATGCTGCTATTTCTTCTGTGTTGTCCAATCTATCTGATATTGTTTCATTAAAAGAACATCAGAGAACGGCTTTGAAGGCTTTTGTTGGTGGAAACGAGGTTTTCGCCCTTCTCCCGACCGGATTTGGCAAGAGCTTGATCTACCCAATGGCTCCTCCTCTCACAGCGTCACGGGTTAGCTTCGGTGTGAGTGGTTGAAATAGCACGTCGATAAAGATGACAGACAAGTGGCTTATCCAATCATATGCAAGGAGTTTTGATGAGGCCCAGCCTTCAGTAAAGGCAATTCCTATGGCGGGTTCCCAGATGTATGTGAGTGGAGCTAGGCGGAGTGAGACATGCATCTGGCTGTTGTCAGGTTAACGTTCACACAGCGGCATGAAGTGAATCTAGCTTTTCACGTACATCTTCAACCCGAATCTGATCTTTTTATGACTGTCTGAAAAACACAGATCTGATTTTTTTTTCCAAAGCGACCCATGCCGCTTGGCTATACAGTCCGATACGTATTTGGTCTTTTCAAATGCAACCTGTGTCTGAACGGCCAGGCTGCATTCATTTGACCTGTACGCCATTAATACTGAACAAAGGTAACTATTCTGGGTCTTGCTACGCAGATGTGGCAAGAAAAACAACCACTGTGATGGACGATGATGCAGAGAGCAGCCTTTATTTTCCACCATCTTGGAAAGATTGTGTCGTTAATGTGTCGTTAATGAGGGATTGCTGAAGAGTCAATGAGTCGATGCAATCAACTGGTTTCCCTTAGATAGAAAACTTTGAATCAATCTGACTGGATGATCTGGTGAACTGGAAAGTGCCATGAGATGACGTGTTGTGAATTGGCGCTATAGAAATAAAGTGAATTGAATTGAACTAATGCACTGTCTGAGGTTGGGAAACATCGCAAGATGCGATCCATGTTTTCTTCCAAAAACACCGAGCACGCTTGCCTGTGATGTCAATGCGCATGTGAGTTGTATGAACATGTTCACGCAGGAGATCACATACAAGTCGCGTATATTCACAAATGTGAACAACCAAAAGAAATGGATTTCACAAAAAAATCGGAACTGAGTATAAAGGCCTGCAGTTTGAACGTAGCCCAAGTCCTTCAGTTGCTGGTGAAGGTTCTCAGTCATCCACGTCATAGTTCTGTTGCTCTGAAGAATTCTGTATCTTTTTATGTCAACATATTGATGTGCATAAATAACCACATTGTTTTGTTGTCAAGTAACTCTTAATATTAGGCTTGTCCCGATCCGATCCACGTATCGGATCGGAAGCCGATATTGGCAAAAAAATGCGTATCGGCAAGGCATGTAAAAATGCCGATCCAGACTGCCGATCCAGTTTAAAAAAAAAAAAAACGGTCCGTATTTTCCAGTTTCGCCGATTGAAACGATCCATTCCACTATTTTGCGCCAGTGTTCCCCGAATCCGGTCCAGAACACCTTCAACGCACCCACAGGTCTTTTTGGGTCTGTCTCCCGGCCTAACCATTAAAACAGGTGAATTGGAAGATAGCGGGGAAAATGTCAGCCGTGTGGGATTATTAGTGGAGGAGATTGGGGAGTATAAGGCATTTTTGTGTAATAGGTCACTATTATTTGCACTGATTTTTTTTAAGCAGTGTCTTTTTTCAACAGTAGAGTCCTGATTCTAAGTTAATAGACTATGTTCCACTCTTGTCTGTTTTGCATTTTTATTAAAACTTACAGTAATACTTGCACCTTTAACTGTTTACGGTTTTACTGTTCTCTGTGCAATTTCAGATTGCTATTCATAATTTTGTCCAGTTTGTGTTTATCTCTAAAAAACAGGTAAGTTTGTTGTTACCAATCATTGTGTTTTATTCAATTTCACCTAATTCAGCTGGCTAGATGTTATCAAGAGTACTAAAACCCTTTTCAACATGAGTCTTACAACTAAGGCTAAATACTTTAACTGAAACTTAAATAAATGCTCGGATAGGATGGTATCGGCCAGTATCGGTATCGTATCGGAAGTCCAAAAACAATATCGGTATCGGATCGGAAGTTCAAAAACCTGGATCGGGACATCTCTACTTAATATATGAAAACTTTAAATATCAAATAAGTAAGAACATTCCACTTGAGAGTATTATTGCGGCCACCATCTCCATTAGAGGAGGAAAAAATGGTAGGAGTGGCCACAGGGGTGGCCAATGATCGGCTGGGTGGCCTGGCCCCCCATCTAGCTCCGCCCCTGCAAAGCTCCTCATCATCACTTTTTGGGACTTTCTATTGTTAAAGTCTGTGTTTTGAGCTTTGGAAGCTGCAGAAAACAATTAAATGATTTTTTTTTTTTTTTTTTTGAGATCCATCATCTGTATTTACAAACAAACAAACAAACAAAAAATACTTAAAGAGAAAAAATTATGTTTTTCATTCCGGCCCAAATAGATGATGACATCATTATTCAGAGAAACATCTGAAATGTGTCTGAAATGAAATGAACTGTTGGTGACCTCAGTCAGACCGGTTCATCACAACAGACCCAGACGAACCAGATCCGAACCCAGAGCCGGACCCAGAGCCAGCAGAGGAGGCTCAAAACAGCATGGACCCCATCCCAAACCCTATCCCAGGACTTGTAGCCATGGAGACCACTGGAAGGCGCTGGTCCCCATAATGTTAGAAACACACAAAAAACACGCGCGCGCGCGCGGATTTCCCGGACAGCCAAACGCGTGTTACCAGCGCGCACGCGCAGCCAGACGGCTAGACAGCAGTCTGGCTTCAGCGGAATGACGAAGCCTCCCCCGCCCCCCCCCCCCCCCCCCCCCCCCCCCCCCCCCCCCCCCCCCCCCCCCCCCCCCCCAAGGGAAAAGCCCTCCTCTCCTTCTGCCTTCCAGTCTCCTCGAAGCGACATGTCCAGTTTGAAAGCAGAAAAACCAAAAGAGAAAATGACATGAACGGTTCTGTTCTCGGTCCGGTTCTTGTGGACCAGCTGCTTCCTGCTGAGAACAGCTGAAAGTTGTCAGGAAGTGGCTGATAAAGTGAGCGGAGCCCCTGTGGGAATGAATGGGTTAGCTTTACTCACTGATCTCCATGTTCTGGATGGACGGGTAGGGCTGGCAGTTGCAGCTGCAGGAGACATTGGGGTTGGAGGCGTTAGAAACACCCATCAAGTTCAACATCTAAGAGCTTCCAGCAGCAGACATGAAGAAGGAGAGGACAGCCTCAGTCAGCCTCTCCTTCCTCCTCTTCCTCTGTGCTTCTCTGTCCCGGCAGGTGTTCTCCTCTACCTGACTTTACTTCTTCTGTCCGCCTCCGTTTGCTCCTGTGAGCGACTGAAGTACCGACCCCCTCCCCATTGGGATCTCTGTCCCTCCTCCTCCTCTTCCTCCTCCTCTTCCTCCTCCTACTGTCTGCCTCTCACTCTTATTCTTGGTGCATCAGAAAATAAAAGAAGGAAAAGTCAAATGTTCCCAAAAACAGAAAACTGATCTTCTGAGCAAACCATCCACTGATGAATAAAAAACAAAACAAGAGGAGAAATAGTTAAAAACAAAAACAGCAACAACAAAACCTGATTGAAAGTATTAAGGTTGTCTTAATATATATATATATATATATATATATATATATATATATATATATATATATATATATATATATATATATATATATATAATTTTTTCTGGAAAAAAGACCTATGAGCCTTTAGGCGTACATAATTCAATTTAGTTGAGTTTATTTCTATAGCGCCAATTCACAACACGTCATCTCAAAGCACTTTCCAGTTCACCAGATCATCCAGTCAGACTGATTCAAAGTTTTCTATCAAAGGAAAACCAGCTGATTGACTCTTCAGCAATCCCTCACACTAAGCATGCTTGCAGCGACAGTGGAGAGGAAAAACTCCCTTTGAACAGGAAGAAACCTCCAGCAGAACCAGGCTCAGTGTGAGTGGCCATCTGCTGAGGCCCACTGGGGTTAATTTAAAATAAAGTTAATAAGAATAAATAATAAATTGATATCTGCTTCTTTTTGCTTTCTTATTGTCATGTATACTTCAGTGCACGCAACCAGTGCCTGTAACACACAGACGTCATCAGTTCTCAAGTGAATGAATGCGCTATTAATCAAACTTCACAATAACATAATTTATAACAACATAGATTTGGTCAGCTGGCATGAACCTGAGTCACTGTGTCTTTATGTCACATGTGACTCTATTAGCTCCAAAATCCTTTTACGCAAACCACAAGGAAATAGTTATATTATTATACTATTAAAACATCATTGGACAGTTCTCCACATCCATTACACAAAGAACACAATATCACTAGGTTGAACTTTTGATGATTAGGCCTCAAAATGAATAAATGAAAATACAAATACATGTTATAGTAAAATAAAAAAGTCAAAGTATTTAGCTCAAATATATAAATTGTGCGAAGTATTTTTAATAAATTTTTTAAAAATCTCCCTGTCGCCACTAGGGGGTGCTGCAGCACACCCAGCCTATCAGGGGGAGCAGAGACATCCAGTTCCAGCACATAAACAGGTTAACAGTGCATTGGTTAGTTTGCTTAGAAAGTCACAAAGCAAAGGTGGCCTCCTGATAGAACCATTAAACCAGGGGAAAATATTCCTGCTGGGGCTAATTTTCAAATAAAAGATCTGATCAATGGTCTCCATTATCATCAAACATCCAGGGGTGGATTTAGGACATTCCGGGCCATAGGCAAACACAGACAGGGGGCCCTCTGAATTGAGAAGACAGCCCCATTATTCAGATAGAGAAATGTTAATAGAATAGACATCCATTATCTGTTCTAGGTTGTGTCCCTCTCTTCTTGTCCCTTTTCTTCTTGTTTTCCTCTCTATGTTTTGTACTCAGCTGACTTTTCATGCTGTCTCTAAAGGAATGAAAGTTTCTTTCCAAGCACTAAGCTCACTTAGCTGATTGCTCCTTCCTGTGTTTCCAAAAAGGCCAAAGTAAATAACCCAGTCCTTCTTTTCACTGTAGACAAGCCATGATCTGCTTATCTGTTCTTCATTTTTCATATATTGTCGCCAAAGTCTCAAGTAGCAGAAAAAGTCAGCAATAGGCACTTTTTTGAAAAAAAAAACACTTAAGACACTTAATATTATACGTGTTCTGATGTTCTTTTAGCGAAAGGATTTTTATCAAAAACATAATTAATGTGCACAAATAAGGAATAGTTGTATTAACTATACACGTAAACAGAGCTTTATGGGGTCCCAGGAACTTGGGGCCCTAGGGAACTGCCTAGTATTGCCTAATGGTAAATCCCCTCCTGCTCTTAGCGAAGGAAGAGCGGCTCTGTTTATGTTTCTGAGGTTCCAACATGATGAAAAACCAGCTCCTAAACTGGGAACTTCTGGTTGGGTTGTGGGGACCAGTCTACCTGAAGTACAGCTCCTCTGGAGATGTCACATACCAAAAAATATACTAAGGCCCCGTCCACACGAAGTCAAAACGAACACGAAACGCTAATATTTTCCAGAACGTTTGTCGTAAAGACGGAGACGTAAAATAAATGTGATCGTCCACACGAATGCATGAAAACGCTGCAAAATGTATGCCAGGCCTGTAAGTGGCGCTGTGGTGCCAAAGCAAAAATAGGCGACGAAATGTTGGGCATGCGCACTAATATTTATACATGGTTGCCCTGCGGGTCCATTTTCGTGGTTCAGTCAAGTTCAGGTGCTGAACTATGTGGTCGATATTGCTCTGTTCTTCCTGGAGATATTCCAGAAGAAGAAGATTCTGTTGGAAGCCCGACAGCAGGGTGAGTAGCATGAGCAGCAACCATTCAACACAGTACGGCGCCATTGTTGTTGTGATACTGTGTCGCACATGCGTGTTTAGAGGCGACGCTATGACGCATGCGTGTAAAAAAAAAAATGCGGTTAAAGCTTAAAGATGGAAACGCGAAAACGGCGTTTCAAAATCTTCCCACTCTGAAGGCTGAATTAAAAAAAAGATCGTTTACAGACCCCCGAAACGCCGACTTCGTGTGGATGAGAGGCTGGTTTGGTGAAAAATTTGTGCGTTTAGGCCAGGGTTTGACTTCGTGTGGACGGGGCCTAAATCATTTCAAAAGGTTTAGCTTTATGTTGTGATTATATTATTATAGTTATCCTTTGATCAGCAGCCATAACAGAAATAATAAAAATTAATCTGGGAACAAGAATGAAATGAAAAACTCTCCCATGGTATAGGGGAACTTTGGTTAAAATAAATAAATAAATAAATAAATAAATAAATAAGTAAATAAAACCTACAATGTTTTGAAAGCGGTTGAGACGAAGCAGCAAAGCAGGAGGCAGTTGAACGTCCGTCAGCTTCTTCATGGTAATCCACACCAGGACAGATGTTTATACCCAACTCTGGATTTAAGCCTTTTCGTTGGATCTACATTTTATAAATAATTCTACTCTATTAATGACAGGAGAAATCCTCCTTCAAGGCCGGATAATCAGTTCCATGTGTTTTAGTAGTGACTGTTTTAACTTTTTTATTTCACAAGTCTTATTGTTTTTTGGTTATTATTGTTTTGATGTTCCTCCTGTTAATGTTTGTTTCAGGTCTTTCTGAGTCTCTTATGATTTTGCTGTGTGAATAAAAGCTTATATAAAATTCAAACTACTTTCCAGGATTTCCTTGTGCTCCGTCCTCCTTCTGAGCGGTAGATTTATTTAAGTCCACCGTCATCCCTCTGATTAATCACACAAATCTTTTTTAGTTGCTTTTTTCTCTACAAGGGATGATTTCTGATGCGGTAGGCCGTGACGTTCTGCAGAATGGTTTGGCTTTAAATGCATTGAAAATCTACTGAGCTGCACTGCTGCAGTGATCTGTGCAGCGCCCCTAGGAGTCTGTCTGCAGGAATTCACTGCTGAACAAATACCAGCCGACTCTAAATGCAGCTGATATATATGTCATGTCGCGTAGAGGCAAGCGTTAGTAAGTTAAACTGATATCTATATAACTCAATATGTAAGAAATCTAGGACAGATTTCCCCCTCTGGTATCAGCGCCCCCTATTGGCCCTCCATCTTTGATGAAAACTGTGATTCTAGCTTCTAATACAGATGAAGCCTAAAGCTGACAGTAATTTGTGAAATCTTGTTAAAGTAAATTATAAATGCATAACAGGAAATTGGACCACGGGATGAGTTACGGCCTTCTAGAAATATGCTGCAAAAATCATCTAAAAGTCTAAAAAAGGCTTTCAAACCACTGTTTGTTTTTCTTAATTGGAGCAAGTAGATAACCTGCTAATGAGATTAGGATTTTCCCCTAACTATAAGATAATTCACTTGATGATGTGCTTGGAGCTTGTTTTTTTTCCCCCTTGTCTTAAAGGAATAGTACACCCAAAACATGATTAGCCTTCATTTTCTACTCACCCCCATGCTGAGCAACACTCTGGAGTACTTTTTTGATATCTCAAATGCATCTGGAGATCTGGGAGGCTTCTTGCTGTCTGCTGACATTCAAATAATGGAGGTCTATGGCGCCCGAGGCAGAAAGGTCCATAAAAGTCCACAAAAAAACGTGTCAATATTCCTCCATACTGCTCGTCCAATGTATTCCAAGTGTCCTGAGTGGGTAGCGTCCAGAATTTACTCGAAACGAAGTCATTTAGAATGTTTTTAGAGCATAAACAGTAGTGTATAGGATTTCCTGAAAGCGCGTTCACGAGTCTACGGAAACCGGCAGACCAAACCAGATGAAAGTGCGCATTCAGCTCGGCAAAGAACTCATGCTCTTCCTCAACACTGAAGTCCTCAGACATTTTTCTTTCGTTGTTTCTTTCTTTGCACAGGTAAACAGCACATTTCTTCTTCTACGCTTGCATTATCGGCAGAGCAGACGCTGAATGCGCACTTTCATCTGGTTTGGTCTGCCAGCTTCCGTAGCGTCGTGAACACGCAGGTGCGCGCTTTCAGGAAATCCTATACACTACTGTTTATGCTCTAAAAACATTCTAAATGACTTTGTTTCGAGTAAATTCTGGACGCTACCCACTCAGGACACTTGGAATACATTGGACGAGCAGTATGGAGGAATATTGACACGTTTTTTGTGGACTTTTATGGACCTTTCTGCCTCGGGCGCCATAGACCTCCATTATTTGAATGTCAGCAGACAGCAAGAAGCCTCCCAGATCTCCAGATGCATTTGAGATATCAAAAAAGTACTCCAGAGTGTTGTTCAGCATGGGGGTGAGTAGAAAATGAAGGCTAATCATGTTTTGGGTGTACTATTCCTTTAAACACAGATCATTTAATTCCATCAGTCAATGGTCTTCCTTACCTG